TGATTCTGTTCCTGTGTCACTAGAAAAAAGAAAATCAGGTGATTGTCCTGCCTGCTGTCAAAAAAATGCGTGCCTTCTAACCTCACCTGAGCCCTCTATCAACACCACCTTCCTCTCTTTTATACTGCTTGCTCTGAGGAAGCTATCCTCCATGACTTGAGGACACTCAAGCAGCCAATGGAGAGGCCCCCATAGGAAGAAATTAAGGGTTCCTGTCAATAACAAGCATCAACTGTCAGGCATGCGAATGAATCACCTTGGAGTGAATTCTCCAGTCCCAGTTGGGCTTAAAACGACTTCATCCCCAGCTGACATCTTGATTGCAACCTCATGAGACCCTGAATCAGAACCACACAACCAAGCCACTACTGAATTCCTGATCCATAAAACTGGTAAGATAATAAATGCTTATTTGCCTACTATGTCCCAGGCTTCATTCATTCAAGCACCTTAGGTACTTACTTTCTGTCCAGTAGAAGAGATGGAGCCACAAAAACCACACAAACATATAATCATAGAAATAAACACATAGTTAAAATCTGTGATAAGTGAGTTATAAAGAACAAGGGGAGCTAATCTAGATTGGTGAAGCAGAGGATGTCTCTTCCAGAAAGTTACAGTTAAGACCAAAAGAGTTTTACAGACAGAGGTAAGGGTAAATATGGGAGCTTTAAGGCGATAAAGAGTCTAGGACATTAAAGGAACTGAAAGAAAACCCTATGGCAGGTATATACCTAATATATGTAACGTATCTAATACCCCGTAGCTCACTAATCCTTCCAATAATTTCACAAAGTAGGTATTCTAACTCTTATTTCACAGTGAGGGCATCAAGACCAAAAGGATCAATAACCACCCAAGGTAATGTAACTAGTAAGTGGCATGCTGAGATTCAAATCAAGGATGAGCTGGTACTAAAACCCATGCCACTCCCACTACATCCTATCACATTGACTCCTCCTCTTCCTGCTGCTCTGAGAAAAGAAAGATCATAGTTCAGTTACCTTAATGTCCTTCCAATTCAAAATCTATCTTCGTTCCTTTTAACTTTCAAGTGATTTTAGGTTATAGTCCACATATTTAAACCCGCCCAAACTCCCTTAATTTAAGCATTTTACTCCACTTGACAATTTCTCCTCTTAAGAGAGTGCAATAACACCAATTCTCCCTTCATGATATCTTCATCTCCTTTTCCCCTTAGTCTTCCCTAGTCTCAAAATTTTTTCTACCCCATTTCTTCTTCAGAATCTCAAACTCCTGTTTTTCACCACTTAACTTTTTAAGAGTAATCTGTTTTGCAGCTCTACTTCTTCTTCTGCCATTTATTCAACCTATTGCAGTTTTGCTTCTTCTTTATAACAAAACTAAGACTCTTTCAAGGTCAACAATAACTTCCCAAATGTCAAATCCAAGAGTTAATTAAAATTTAGTCACATTTATTATTGATCATCCCCTCCTTGAAACTCTATTCTCTTCTTTGACAGTGTACTCTGGTGGTTTTCCTATATCTCCAATCATACCTTGTCAGTACAGTTAGTTGGATCTTCCCAGCTTTTGAAAGTCATTGTGACCCATAATATACTGGATGTTAAATGAGCATTAAGTGATGCTCATAGCTCTTACTGTAGGGCAAAATTTAATGGCATTTTATGGAAAGTGTCACAGTATTTAACAAAGGTTGAATTCTTTTTCAGCTCCATCTGTAAACAGAAATTGATTTTTCTCATCAAAAAGAGATTGGAATCTCTCCCTTCCCTAAACACACACATCTTGGCAATAAAGCAAATGGAGCCACAGACCCAAGCTAGGCAGGAAAACCTGATCCCTGAAGGAACAGTGGTTCTTAATATTCTCAAGGTTCCAAGCCCCTTTGAGAATCATATGAAAGATAAGGACCCTTTCATCCCCCAAAATGTGTGCATAAGCTCATGTAGGTACAGATTTGCAAATAAATTTGAGAGGTTTCTCACACTCAGATAAAGAATCCAGTGATAGAAAGAATGCAGAATGCTCAAGTGAGGGAGGGAGGAGGGGAAGTCTGCAGCAATTTACAGCCACAACCAGAATTTTGGATAACAGTAAAGGGGAGCAAGACTTTCCATTGAAAGTCAATCAGTTCCATTCTTTGAACAAGTTCATAAGCAAAAACTAAGCCTTAGTAAAAAAGGCTCCTGAAGCAAGACATTAATGTCCTAGTATAAAAAAGCCTACATCAGATAAACAGAAAATTCCAGAATGGATCAGATCCATTTCTTAGCCATACTATCTTCAGTACATTAATGGAAGAGGACCTAAAGACACAGAGAACCCACTATGTATCCTTTATAATGCTAATGTACAGTGTGAATAGTTCACATTACACTGTATCTTATCTTTTCCCCAAAATCCTATCATCTTTTAGTTTAAGAAGTCCTCTAAATATTGCCTTATATGAATAACTGGGTTGCCTAGAGAGATCCGATTTTATTGTTCAAGACTGGGGAAAATTTGGCAGAATGCCTTGGATTACTGTCTCAAAAAACCTGATTTTTGTCCGGATAAAAAGAAAATGGTATCATTTGAGAGAGAAAAATGAGAACTTTTAACCTGTTTATCCTCCCTTCAAAATGTTTACATTGATTAGATAGGCCTGGATAAAAGTATAAGAGTTGGTCCATGCATTTGGCCGCCATTAATTACTAGCTCTATTTCATTGTGTTTGTATAAATTACAGGTTTACCAGTCTTCACGTCTTTACATTTCAATATTTAAAAGTTCAAAGTATGTTAGAATACTGTGCACACTACCTTCATCCAACACCAAATCTATTATAATTAAGAATCATTAAAAAAAAAAAAAAAGGCAGGGCGCGGTGGCTCACGCCTGTAATCCTAGCACTCTGGGAGGCCGAGGCGGGTGGATCGCTCTGAGCTCAGGAGTTCAAGACCAGCCTGAGCAAGAGCGAGACCCCGTCTCTACCAAAAAATGGAAAAAATTAGCCAGGCATGGTGGCGCATGCCTGTGGTCCCAGCTACTCGGGAGGCTGAGGCAGAAGGATCTCTTGAGCCCAGGAGTTTGAGGTTGCTGTGAGCTAGGCTGACGCCAGGGCACTTGCCCCAGGCAAGAGAGTGAGACTCTGTCTCAAAAAAAAAAAAAAAAAAAAAGAATCATTTTATGCAAATAAAAAGAATGACATTTTTTTAAAAAGTTTCTCAGTTGGAAAAACTAACTGAATTGGTCAAATATGTCTACAATACAGTGTAACAAAAACATTTATAAGCCTGTCAATGGCCCAGGTAAAATTTAACATAATCCAAGTCATCCAAAGCACATGCCCTAATAGTGAATTAGTAGTACCACCTTCATATTAAATGAACTGCACTATGTTTCAATTACAAGTATTAATACACAAAGCTACTTGAAACTTAAATAAGAAAGTAGGGTTATACCCTTGAAATAATGTATAAGGAATTTTTAAAGAGGTATTATCTTAGCACTCAATCACAGTTGTTCTGATACCAACTGTTATTAAAAGTTTTTTCATCTATGGTTGTCCCTTCCCATAATATTTAACAATGCAAGAGATTTTTTTTTAAAAAATCATGACTCATTCAAATATAAAAACAAACATATGTTCAAAACTCAAAAGAAACCAGGCAGATGGTAAATAAAAAAAATCCCAGAAATTAGACACATTAATAAATTAGGAATATTGAAATAAACATGCAAAAGGGGGCAAAGCTTTCACTGAATCTCCAAGAGATAGAATATGCATGTCTAGAAAAAAATTATGTAGCATCAATGTCAGTTATCTACAGTTTACATAGTTGCAAAACAGCTTTTTGAGAATCAAATCATCCAAGGAATGTTATTTAGATAGAATCTAAGCTACGTAGTTTTCCACTGAAGAACACGCTTTTCATACTATAATAACATAATGTGGAGCACCTACAGAAGCACCTATATTAATCATATATACCCACCCAAATGTCCCCTTCCCCACCAAACTTCTTGAAATAGTAGTTTGTTGCTACAATTTCTTCCCTTCTCATTCATCCAATCCATAGCAATTTTGTTTCAAAATGCCTATGCCCCCTAAAAAACAAACAAACAAACAAACACAAAAAACAACAACCTATACTGTTTCGGCTATCCAGTCTCATCATATGCATTCTCTACAATTGCAATTTTCTTGAATATGGAACATTAGCTGAATATGTCTTAAAAACCTCAAGAAATGTCTGAAGAAAATCAGATAATGTAGACAAAAGACTAATTTCTAGGCTAGCTACAGATAGCTTGCTCACTAAGCGATGGCAGCAGCTAACTTCTATTCTATAGCTATATGTTAGCTTTAATTCTGCATAGCTCTACACATCAGAACTCATACTAAATACTTCCATGCAGCTCAAGAATAAAAGCGGGCAGAACTGCAAGAAAGAAAACCTAATTCCCACCTGGAGACAGAGCACCTAAGCCTCAGTCAGCCAACAAGGAGGAGACAGCCCGGGTCACTTCCCCCTCAAGCGGCCAGAGAGCGGAAACACAAAGCCAGGCCAATGTCACTCCTGGGATTGCGGGAACCCAGACAACTCAGCATCCTGGGCTCAGCGTTTATTCAACCCTGACCCGAGCTGCTCTCGGTTCGTGGAACGCCCAGTCCACAGGGGCGGCAACAAGGACTTGATTTTGGGTCTACAACTAGCAGGGCTCCCAGCCGCCCTATTTCACCTGCACCCAGGGCGCGCGCCTCCTAGGCTACGGTCCCCCACGTCCCTTGTGCCCGCGTCTGCCTACCCTCTCTCTTCTCGTCGACACGGCGTCCCCGACAGTGCCTTGGATGAGAACCCAACCAACAGATGAGGAAGAAGAGCCAGGCTCATTCTTCCAGAGAACGGACAGAACTAACACTGTGCCCGCACCCGCTTCTCGGGCCGAGTCCCGTGCGCCTCCAGCCGCGCCCCCAGGCCGCTCCGCCCCGCCCCGCCCCGCCTTCCCTCCCGCTCCGTCTAGCCTCTCACAGCACTTCGGTGGTCCCATCCGGACGGCGGGCGGGGCGGGTTAAGCTCCTGGCAAAAGGCGGCCGAGCGACATCTCCGGACAGCCCTCAGCAGAAGCGCGTGGGCTAAGGCGAATCAAAGTCCCTGGAAGCTGGAGTGATCAGCCGCAAATGCTCTGGGCGGCGAAACGCCGGCTTCCGCTCCCAGCCAGAGCTCACCAATCAGAGCCCGACCTCTCCGTCATTTCCTCCTAGGAGGCAAAGAGAACGTCTGGCGGAAGAGGGTCCTGGAACGGACCCGGAAGGGGTGGGTGCCGTGGGCGGGTCCAGTCGGCTGGAACCTCGTGGAGGCTGAGGTGAGGTCTAGAGGTGCGCGGCTGTGGCTGAGCATCTTTGCTCCGCAACTCGTGTTTGGCTGATCCTGGCTGCGGCCTGCGTGGCTGTCAGCAACAGCCGTGGCGGGGGTATTTGGGGAGGGTCACTAGGGTGGGGGGAACGCTGGTGACTGCGGGCGTCCCCACAGTAGTACTTGGGAGCAGCTTGGCTACTCCCGCGGTTGGCGCGTGCAGAGGAGAGCGCCTGACCGCACGTGTGCCCGGGCTTGCCTGAGGATGATCCGACAGTGTATTCGGGGTGCGGAAGCCCCCTTCACCCTCCCCTGCCTGAAGACTTGGTTTAGGGATGTGTGACAGGTCGGTTACCACCTTCCAGGCCTTGAGTGCCTCACAGAAACGGTTTTTGGGGAGCGGGGCCGGGAGCTGTGTGTTAGGAAGCAGGGAGGATGGGGTCTCGGAGGAAGGTTAGTTAGGTCGTGAGCTCTCTCGAAAAGGCGGCGAGATCTATGCAAGTTAAACAAAAGCGACCAGTGCCAAGTTGTACGGAAGGTAGTTTAAATACTGGGGCAATGGAAAAGGCTTGGACAATTGGGTTTACCCGGAAGGAAATGGGCCTCAGAGGATAACATTGATTAAAATAGGTAGAGGAGAGAATACATGGTATTCTAGGTGAGAGAAATAAAAGCAAAATCACAGGACAAGGAAGGAAACCAACCAGCCTGACAAGAGAAGGCTATTCAAGAATTGGGAAGGATAGATAGGATGAGTTTTTGGAAACTGGCAAACAATTTAGCCCTTTCCAGGGCTATTGGGTAGCCCTTGAAATTTGAAAAGATTAGTCGGTAGTATTCTGATTTTTAAATGAGAAGAGTGAAAAACACGGAGGCAGAAAGAAGTGTTAGGTGGAAAACTAGTGCAATAGCTCAGTGATAAAGAGCTGGAACTGAAAGTGCTGGAAAGAGAGAGAGGGATCCTACTTTAGAGAAACAATCGGGTAGAGTTGACTGAGAAATAGACAAAGACAAGCAGTTTAGTGTAGTGGTTAAAAGCAGAAATTTTGGAGTTAGGCCAGCTGGATTGGAATCTGGCTTTGGCACTTAACTATCCAAATGATTTGGCTAGCTATTTAGCATCTCTAGGTCTAGGTTTCTTGCCTGTACAATGGAGATAAGAATAATAACCTACCTCGTAGCATTATTTGGAGAATTGTTTACACTTGTATTTACAATGTGCTAGATGCTTTTCTAAGTGCCCTGCATATGTTAACTCATTTCATTAATTACCATATGTAATTAAACTGCATATGTTTACTTAGTTATGTACATTTAGTATATCAGTTACCATATTGAAGCACTACACCTTGGCTGCTACAGTAATTTTTATTAATAAGCCAAAGTTTATAACAAGGTTGTGAGTCTGAGTAGCTGGGAAGTTTGTGTTTCAGAGTCAGAAAAAATGAGAGGAGTTCAGGAAGTAAGGTAGATGTGGTTATAGATGTGTTAAATGTGATACTACAGGTATTCAAGAAGGGATATCCACTAAGTATTTGGAACTCTATAATGAGTATTCTGGAAATAGAGATGTGGGAGTCCCTGGGCCTAGGCATGGCTATATGAATTCGTCAAGGAAACTACTGCAGGAGGAGGTGATAGATGGCCAAACTCTAACGTGAGGAACAACTACAGTTAAGAGGTTGGAGAAATTGGGTAAGAATTAATCACATGACCTAGTCTTAGAGCATTATCACCATGTTAGTATTATCTTTTCTTGATTTTTTTAATTGGCTTTATGTTAGTTTATGAGAAAAACAATGAGGCCAGTAAGTGATTACTAACAAAAAATATTAGCAGATTTGGGATTGAATATTTGTCTGTTAAAGTTGACTAAAATAAGCAGCTTATAATCAGAAAGAAACCCTATAGAGTTAAACCAAACAACAACAACAAAACAACCAAAAGAAACAGCTCCCCCCCAAAAGGCTATAATCTTGTGTTTTTTAAATTGCATGGGTGTTTTGAGATATGCTTTTCACTTTTTTATGTTGAAAGCTGACAAGATTGGCTCGTTATCTCCTTCACCTCTTGTTCTTTTACGCATAACCAGCGTTTTCAGTGAATTTGGTAAAAGTGCAGAAACGATGATATCTTTCAAACATAGTGGGCCAAGTTGCTCTACCATTTTTCTGTGTCAAGAGGAGGTGGCTGCTCTATTATTGAAATCCAAGGACAGACCTGCATGAACTAGAACACTAATTCTCAAAGTGTGGTCCAGGAACCACAGCAGCAGCATCACTTGGGAACTTATTAGAGATGAAAAATGTTAGGCCCCACCCCAGACCTATTGAATCAGAAACAGGTGCTGGGAGATGAGATGTATTCATAAGCCCTCTGGGTAATTTGGATGTATATTAGAGTTTGGGGACCACTGTACTAGAAGGTAAGCCATGAGGTCAGAGATTTTGTCTTATTTAATATATCTCTAGTGTCTGGAACAATGTCTAATTAATAGGTTTATAATAAATATTCATTGATAAATATGTTCAGTCTCATGCTGCGAACCTCAGTGTAAAAATTTTGATGCTGGTTGAAAGGGCAGAAGTGAATTATTCATCTGCACTGAGGCTATAATGTCAGATATTCATGAGGTGGGCATGACAGTTTGAAACTTGAGAAGTGAAGGATTGAACAGTTCGTATTCACTAGCCTAGCAGAACCGAGACACCCAAAGAACTGTGTTTTCTTTGTTTATATGCACAGATTGCCTCACCTGTGGTATCATACATCATAACATGGGGCTCACCAAGCAGTATCTACGCTATGTTGCTAGTGCGGTCTTTGGCCTGATTGGCAGCCAAAAAGGTAATATTGTCTTTGTGACACTTCGTGGTGAGAAAGGACGCTATGTGGCAGTACCAGCCTGTGAACATGTTTTCATCTGGGACTTGAGGAAAGGAGAGAAGGTGAGCCAAAAATCAACTGGGTTGATATTGATTACGGGTATTTGAGGATGGAGAGGCAGAAGTGGGAGAGCTCTAATTTACCATGCATGGGTTTTTTTGTGTATGTGCCCTTGGAAGAGAAATCTTTTTCCTTTGGGTCTAGATAGTCAAGCATCAAGTTCCTTTGTGTTTTTCTCCACTGAATTCTGAAAACCACAACCAAATGGGAGCTTATTTCATACGTGTCTGTTTGTAGGAATATTTATAGGTCATTATTTGTAGTCATTTATTCCTGATCTATTTTTCTCTACTTTACCAATTGCATTTTTCAAGTTCTACTTATGCTTATAGCCAATTATAAAAATATTAAGCATTTAAAAGGAGTATTACTCTGCTATGTTGACAGAACCTTTTTCTTAGTTATACAGATGAAGCCCAGGGGTTATTAAACTAGGCTGTCATAATCTGACTCTGAATTCCCTAAGCCCACTGCTTCTGCCATATCAAATGTAGGCATTTTGATCTCCTCCATTCATTATGTAACTCCCAAGAGGTTACTTACTTGATACTTGGCACTGCCCAGAGTCCCTTGGGGATAAGACCACTGTAGTACTCTGGTGTCATGCAGATTGGTTTGTCATGAAATAGGGCTCAGTTAAAGCAAGCATGCATTTATAACCCTTTATTGAAAATCATTTAGTATTTCCTAGGATAAAGACTTAGTAATTTATTTCATTGCTTGGGAATTTTTGCACGTATTGTGTCAATGTGAAGCTTTGGAGAAAATGATTTTACCTTTTCTTGAATATTTCATTGCCTAATACAGATAATAATTTCCTATCTCTAATAACTTGAGATGGATTATGAAGTTTCATTATTATTCATAACAATTTTCCCTTGGTTACATGCTTAACTCCTCTACATTGTTTTTGATTTTTATGGTTTTAGATCCTCATCCTTCAGGGGCTTAAACAAGAAGTCACTTGCTTGTGCCCCTCCCCAGATGGGCTGCACTTAGCTGTTGGTTATGAGGATGGGTCTATCCGAATCTTCAGTCTCCTGAGTGGGGAAGGAAATGTGACCTTCAATGGACACAAAGCAGCTGTCACTACCTTGAAGTATGATCAGCTAGGAGGCAGACTGGCATCAGGGTCCAAGGTGAGACTGTGAATCAGGGACCCAGTCTTTAATATATTAAAGGGGCATAAGGATTATGCTGAAAGAGTTTGTTCACAATAATTGTTGGGTGAAATAATAGACTCTCAATGTACAAAATAGTATAGATGGTAGAAATAGTGGTGAGGATGGTTGTGAATTGGGAGGTTCATTTTGTTTCCTGTCATATTCTCTGATAAAAGCCTATTAAATGTAGAAATAAGACAAAGATACCCATGATGACTATTATAAAATGTTATTATGGAAGTGCTACCCAAAGCAGTAAAACAAGGTAAAAGAAAACAAAGACTGGAAGAGATACAATGACAATCATTTGCCTTTGAGTTCTGTAAAAGCAGTAGCTTTCCTGTATTTCAAAAGTTGTAAGTTAGAAAATAAAATGTAAAAAAATTTACTCACAATAGAATGTTGAGTAACAGACATAAAAATAACATGAAACTTTACTGAAGAATGTAATTGAATACTTTTATAGAGGCACAAACCATGTTCTTGAATGGGAAGATAAGGTATGGGAAAGATGCTAGTGTTTTCTAATTAGTTTACATAGTTAAAGCAATTTAAATAGATATCCCACAGGTTTTTGTTGTTGTTTAGAATTTGACCAAGTGATTTCAAAGCACACGTGGAAAAGTGAATTGGAAACACCAAAATTTGAGGAAAGAAGAATACTAAGAAGGGGATTACTTATAAAATAGTGCTTAGACAATTGGCTATTTGGTGAAAAACTTTAAAGCTTTGCTTCATGCCATATACCAAAATGAGTCACAGATTAAAGACTTAAATATTAAAAAAAAAAGCATGTAAACTAGAAATATGTAAGTATTTGATATCAAGGTAGAAAATGATTTTAAATATTTGCAAAGGAAAGAGAAATTATAAAGGAAAAGATTGATTTGAATACTTAAAATATTTATACATTAAAAAACAAATTAAAAGTCAATGGAAAAGGGAAAGTAATATTTTCACTATGAAAAGAAAGGATTACTATTCATCTATTAATAACCTACAGTCAAGTAAAAGATGACACCCAAAGATAGAAACAAACGACATGAATTGACAACTCAAAAGTGATACACATGGCCAATAATCACCATAGAGCATGTAAAAAATTTCTCATTAGTGTTCATAAATGTAAATTAAAATAAGTATTGAGACTCAATATTTTTTACTCATGAAACTGGCAGTAGGTTTTAAGAAAACTGACAATACCCAGAGTTCAATGGATGGTAAACGTGGCCTTGTTATATGTATTCCTGGTAGTTCTAAAGATGTACCCAATCTAGAGATCATTTTGATGGTGTGCATCAGTAACTTTTAAAATAAACATACCTTTTAACGTAAGAATTTCCTATTTTAGTGTTCTAATCAGAGATATGTAAAGAGGTTAATTTACAAGAATGTTCCTTTCTGCATATTTATAATATCAGAAAACTGGAAACTGCTTACATCTCTAAAATGGAAAATAGTATATCCTTAGGATTGATCATTATATAAGCATCCAAAATAAGAACACTCTGGAATGGCATGGAAATAAGGTAAATGATAAAAAGGGGGAGGTTATAAAGTGAATAACATGAACTGAGTTTTCTAATAGGAAAATAACAATCTGGATATATACACAAAGAATGGAGCAATATAAAAAAAAACAAAATATATGGTGATTATTCCTAGATGGTGGAATTAAGGCTAGTGTTTATTCCTCTGCACTTTCTGTATGCTTTCCAAATTTTCTGCAAGGACTATGTATGGCCTTTGTAATAATTAAGTCCCATTGTTTGTCAGGTTAGGCCTTATGTGGTAAAGAAAGTTATTTATTTTATTTTTTTGTATTATTTGATCCCTTTAGGACACAGATATTATTGTGTGGGATGTGATCAATGAAAGTGGCCTCTACCGTCTGAAGGGGCACAAGGATGCCATCACACAAGCATTGTTTCTACGAGAAAAGAATCTGCTAGTTACTAGGTAAAGAAACAATCGTTTCATTTCCAGTTCTTTTCTAGATAAATTCTTTGGAGAGAGTTTCACAGAGTGAACTTGAGTCATTCCTTCCTCCTTTGACCACACTGTGCTTATGCTCACATGTTAGCTTCCTCTTCTGTTTTGCTTTTCTCTCTCCTTTCCACCCTTCCCAAATAGTATAAAGCCTACCCAAAATTAATTATAGCATTTTAAAATTCCCTTTTCTGATTTGTCATTCTTTTCTCCTGATATCAGCTGTTCCATGTTCCTTAACCTTTTGACACACCTGTTATAGGATGAGCTTTGTCTATTTTCTGGATCCCTGGAAAATTAGGAAAGCCGATTGTGGAGCAGTGTGCAAGTGTGAATACCAGGTGTTTAATTTAGGCTGCTTTTTGAGGAGAGATATACTGTACTTTATAGGCCTTCTGAACATCTGTTAGGTTGAAGCATTTGAAATTTCCCTTTGTGTAGGTCAAAAATGATCAGCTATCAACAACTTCATATGGTTCAACCTAATGATTATTATTTCTAAAGAATGGTCCCTAGGAAAGGCTGGGATCTTAAGGTTTGCCAAGCAGTAATTAGAGGAACCATAGTAATGACTCAGAAAATGTTGTAGAGGACCAATGCTATACCCAGGGGTGGATTTGTTGTGGGATAGGATACAGGTGTGTTAGTGTGTCTTGCTCAGATAACACAGATTCTATGAGAGACTGATTCTATAGTTCTAATAGAAAATGTATACATTACAGCTTATGGAATGTAAAGGAAAAGAAATAACACTGTAAAGTGGGGTTAGATGGGATGGACTTTGTAAATCAGGTTTTCAGGGGTTATTTTTTATTTGTTTGTTTTTCCAATTTGCTCGCGAAGGAGTATTGTATTAGATTTATATTAGTGAAAAGGCAGGGAAGGGGCATTTCAGCAGGTAGAGTAGAGGCCATTGGCAGTGAGGGATTATATTAGGGGGTTAAGACCCAATTAATGGGAGGTTTTGAGAGTGGTGCTAGAGAGTCTGATTTTGATTCTGTGGGGAACATTGAGCTAGTGTAAATTTTAAAAATTGGGATTATCTGACAGTAGTATATTAGGCGGGATGAGAGAATAGCAATGGACCAAGAGATCTGATGAGAAGGTATTAAGATAATCCAGGTAGTAGAACATAAATTCAGGTTTGTGTGCAGAAATGGGCTGGAAGGAGTCAAGACTTAGAAACTCCACAGAGTAGGTGCTTCCAGGACACAAAGACTAGCTAGATGTGGGAAACGAGAGAGTGGGAGAGGTCTAAGATATTTCCGTGTTAGACTGTCTGAGAGAATGGCGGTGCTGTGTTGATGGAAACCCAGAAGGAAAGCATGATGGATCAAGTTCTGTGTCCTTTATACTCTGAATTCAGTCATTTTCGTGCTTACTGATGAAACATTTTCTGCATGAAAATAACTGCATGGAGAGTTAGGATTTTTGCTTTTCAGGAGAAAGGTTGGGTAGAATAGAAGCTTTAGACATTATTGCTATATATCATCTTTTTAAAGCAGCAAATGAATCCTTGAACTCCCTGTTAGCTGAATGATTCTTCCTAAAAAAAAGATTTTTTTCCTATTTCTTCTTTTAGTGGGAAAGATACCGTGGTGAAATGGTGGGACCTTGATACCCAGCACTGCTTCAAAACAATGGTTGGCCACCGAACTGAGGTACATGTAGGATCATGGGCTCAGGGAAAGAATGGCAAGGCAAAAAGGAAAAGGTGGTTTTCTTCTCTGCCCCCCCCCTTTTTTTTTTTACTGCTCACAATAATCATCATATGGCATCTTGGGAGACAGAGAGGCTGATTTGGTGGAAGCAATGCCCAGCATTGGAGCAGATACAGCTGCTCTGGCATTTAGTAAAAATTGGCCTTGGATAGTTTTTAATCCATGAACTTCATCATTTTTAAATAGTAAGTATCCACCTTTATTATTGTAGGAAAGTTTAATGATACTGTGTGTGTATAGTGCCTGGCCCCATGACAAGTAAACAGCAAATTGTAGCTGTTTAAATAATAGTTACCTGAAAATAGATCTATTCAATTCAGTTCAGGAACTGTTTGATACATCTTTGCATCCTTCTCAGTGCTTTGTTCATAAAAGGCTTTCACAAACATAATACCTGGAATTAGTGAGGAGAAAAAGTTTAAATTTTTCTACTTGATTTGCAACAATATTATTATTTTCATTGTTTAATTCCTGGATAGTTAAAGCTGAGAATTATACAATAGACGTTAATGGGACATCTTTTATCTGCTGGACACTGCTGAAAGCAAAGAAGTAGAAGACTTAAAATCATTATTTGAGTGGATTCTAGTTAGGATTTATGCTGAACAGCCTTTATACAAATTTGATGATAAGAAGTTAAAGAGGAACTCTTAATGTCATATAAGCAACAATTTCACTGCAGGCCATTTTTTTCTCTGTAAAAGTGAGATTTCTGTTAGTGCATTTTGAAAGGTTTGCCTTAATATGCCTTTTCTTTGACTTTGAATTGCCAAAGAAATTTCGCTACAGTGTACTTTTGGAACATCACATTATACAACACGGAATCTGTTAAAAATCATATTGTTTGAATCTTTTTATACTCTTATAGGTATGGGGATTGGTTCTGGTGTCAGAAGAAAAGCGACTCATCACTGGGGCCTCAGACAGTGAACTGAGGGCTTGGGACATAACCTATCTGCAAGAGGTAATTACTTTTTTTGGATCATGGGCAATATCATGTTTTAGTAGTTTTATAGGCTCATTGTGTTTAGAATCAGGTGTAATTATTGAGTTCTTCACATAGTACTGGAAGGAATTCGTAATCACATTGATAACCGGCAACTTTTAAACAAACGTTTTCTTCATTATGCTTATTGCCCTCATTTATTTTAGCTCAGAAGAGGGGTAGCTTTAGGCTTACAGCTTCTGGTAATGCTAATGTTTCAGTTTGTGGCATTTTTAGCCTGATATTGCTGGACCTTTGGGTGTCCATAGATTGACTTCAGAGTATCTATGAACCTTTCTCCTCAAAAATCTATGTAGAATTTATGTGTGTTTATAAATATGTATATTCGGAGAAGATCTATAATTTTTTCTCAGATACGCAAAGAATTTGTGTAGGAAAAAAAGGTTATGGGCCTTAGGTTTAGCTAGAGTTAGGTGTGTGCTGTAGTGTCCAGTAGCCATTTTGATGGGTTGTACATTAATAGGCAAGGGTGTTTTTTTTATTATTTAAGGAGAAAATATCACCTTTCTTGCAATGCCTTTGCAATTCCTAATGCCAATGTGAATCTTTCCCTTTAGAACATGGTAGACCTTTCACCTAAGAACAGAGAAAGTTTTAAAGTTAATGAAGAGTGGGTCATTTTTTCACTATTGTTGCTTGAATAGTAGTCCTTCTACTATAGAAAGTTATTGGAGATAGTATAATGAGTAATGTTTTGTTTGTATATGATATAGTCAGTTTTTAATAAATTTTTGTACCTGTTCTGCCATTGAAGAGATTTGATCAGAGAGGTAACTGAATGGAAGCTATTAGTGGCCATAGGGAAGGTTTCAAAGTCATTAGGGTTAAGAGTCACTTCCTGGAACATGTTATTTCAGCTTTTATTTTCCCATTTTCCCATTTTTATAAAACAGATTGAGGACTTGGAGGAACCAGAGCCCAAGAAAATCAAAGGATCTTCTCCTGGAATACAGGCCACTCTTGAAGCAGAGGATGGGACCCTTGAAATGGATGAAGCTCCCGAGGATGTAATTCATCTTTTTTGTTTTTTATCTTTAATTGAGTTGAATAGCGGGAAAAATGAGAATTGCAGATTGCAATTCTTTTCATTATTTTAGGGAATGTTTTTGTCACCTACATTTATTAGAGCTATATTCTTTTGTAGGTTTAGCAGAACTTACATTTAACCCTTTTCTCTTGCTGCTTCTGTAGCGTATCCTTTCATGCAGAAAAGCTGGTTCCATAATACGAGAAGGAAGAGACAGAGTTGTGAACCTCGCAATTGACAAGACAGGCAGGATTCTTGCTTGCCATGTAAGTACTTAGGAGAAAATAACAAGGAATAGGCTGTTCCTTTCAGATACTCATTCTTCTTTCCTATTCAGTGTAGAGATGAATTTTTTAAATCATATTAATAATTCATTATAGGATACTAACTGGACCTATAATCCCTAACTTATCTCAGCATAACAACAAAAAAAATAATTTGTTTTATTTTTCTTATTATTAGCAACCATTTATTAAATGCTGGCTTTTCTAAGCTGTTTGAAAGCATTTAACTTCTTGTTTGGTATTCAGAGTAATGTTGTGAGTAGGAAGTGGTATCCCCCGTTTTACAGATGAGACAACAAACCCAGAGATTTTAAGTTGCCTAAGGTATTACAACTAGTAAGGGAAGAAAAAGTAAATGTTATTGTTTAGTTCTTACTGAGAATAAGCTAAATTATAAATTGCCTCTCCTCTCACATCAACCTTTTGCTTTTCTAGGGAACTGATTCTGTACTAGAAGTGTTTTATATCCTTTCCAAAGAGGAAATTCAGAAGAAAATGGATAAGAAGATGAAGAAAGCTAGAAAGAAAGCAAAGTGTGTTTTATTAATATTTACTAATGATGAAGTATCCTGGGTGGGCCATGTGTTACTGAAAAAAAACTGACTTCTTTAAGGAAATATTTACTCTATTACCAGTTACTGTTAAAAGCTAGAGAAGACCAAGTTTATCAAGTCTCAAAGAAATAAAAAGTCAACTGATTTGGCAAATCTTTTGAGAGCTACTCTGGTTTATTTGACATGGTTGGATTGTTAGGTGTAAGTTAATGAGTTTTTTTTTAAAAGTCCTCAAGTTAGAAAAGTATGCCAGAAACATTTCAGTGAAATCATTTGAATTACAGAGACTTGTTCCAGGAACTTGTTTGAGTTGTTGTATTCAGAATCCATTTTTTGAGGGTACCTATTAAATGAAATAATACTTTATATTTATGACACTGTTGTTCAAAAAGCGTTTCCACATTAACTACATTGTTTAGTTCTTATAATAATCCTTTGTGGTTAAGTGACTTTCCCAGAATCACACAGCTTGTTGGTCCTGGGGCCAGATTTTGAACTCAAGTAAGAGCAAAGGTGCTTCTGAAAAAATGATATCTTGATACTTTTTTTCCCCTCTAGGCTAACTTCTGGCAAAGGGGAAGAGGAAGACCTTGAAATCAATGTTGAAATGACTCTGAAAGATGAAATCCAAAGGGTGGCTAATATTAAAACTTCTGCCAAAATCAAGTGAGTAAAAATAAATTATCTGAAATTATAGAAATAGTAAGCTGCAAAGTAATATTGGCTTCTTCATGCCATTTGTAAGCTGTCTATATGAAGTGTATACTTGGAGACAGTGATTGTAAGACACCTATATCACACTTTGCTTCTATTGCCCTCACCAGCCATGGGCCTACTTATTATCTCATATTTGGATTATTATAGTAACCTTTTTGCTGTTCATTTACTGTCCTTTCCTGCTGCCAATTAAAAAAAAATGTATATCCCATGTTCAGAAAGGATGTAAGGTCACTTACAAAAAATATATACACGAAAACAAGGTATATGTCGGAAATGGATCTGAGCCCAAGTATTTTTGACTTAAAAGACTATATACTCAACTACTACTCAGTATGCAGACTGCTCTTATTTGTAAAATTCTTTATATTAATATTTGTCCAAACTTCATATAGATTGAGGACATTATAAGGCCTTTCCCCTAGAAAAAATTAACCTTGTGAGCAAAGATGGTAACTAGAACATTTATGATTATTTTCCTGTACAGATCCTTTGACCTGATTCATTCACCCCAAGGAGAGTTAAAGGCTGTCTTCCTGCTGCAAAACAACCTGGTGGAATTGTATTCATTAAATCCATTCTTGCCTACTCCTCAGCCTGTCAGGACAAGCAGAATCACCATCGGGGGTCATCGCAGTGATGTACGGACTTTGTCATTCAGCTCAGACAATATTGCTGTCCTTTCAGCCGCAGCTGATTCCATTAAGATATGGAACAGGTTTGTGGAATGATGTTTCCTATAGCTGTATCCAGTAGTAGTTTTTTTCCTTTGAAATATTTTTTGGGTACTCTTGATGGTTAGTTATTAGCTTCTTAAGGCCCTAAATACAATTCTTTCAAAATACATCTTCAGTACATTTTGGCCATTGGCCTGTGGAGTTTACAGTAGAAAAAATTGCCTTTTTAAATGTGGTGCAAAAAATGCAAACTTATTCCATGTGTGGAGCTTGTAGCTGTCCTTGGCTAGAGAAAAACACACAACTATACAGCCTACTCTTCAAATTAAAAAACAAACAAAAAAAACCCCAGTAGATTCTTAGTAATACCCAATGGTTTTACCTAAATTTCTAGATGATTGTTTCACACCTTTCCCTCTAGTACCTCTAACACCTTTAAGCTGAGACCATGCTTTCTAATTCACTGAAAAAAATGGAAGCATCTAGAAGAGAACATTCATATGCTCCTATTATACTTGCCGATTTAGCTGTGTCTGTATATGTAATTTTCTTTCCTCATTACTATGTTGGTGCTCCTAACCAAAGCTGACCACAGCTTGTATTCGATGTCTCCTCTCCTCTTTTAGCAATTTTCCCTCTCTGTTAGATGAGTCCCATGAGCATGCACCTGTGTGATAATATCTCCTATCTTAAAAAAGATAATGATCCTCTCTCAACCCTACATTACTCTCTGGTTACTGCCCAGTTCTCTGATTTCTTTTCTCCATTCTGTCTTTATCTGTCTCCCATCAGGCTTTTATCCCTATCATTTTACCAAAATAGTTCTTGTCATGCCATCAGTGATCATGTTTCTAAATCCAGTGACCTATAAGCTTCATTTCATGCTCTCGAATTGATAACTTTCTCTTTTTGAAACACTTTCTTTGGTTTTCATTATTTCCCCTCTCCTTGCTGGAAGTCTCTTCTCAGTCCTAGCTGGATCCTTCTTATCTTTATGTCCTCTAAATGTTAGAGCACTTCAGAGTGGAGTCTTTGGACCTTTTCTCTATCTAAACTCACTTTATGTGATCTCTAGTCATGAAATTTTCTCTATATGATGACACATAAATATATATCAAGCTTTAGTCTCTGCCTTGAACATCATCAGACTGATATATCCAAATTGTTTGTATCACCACTCAGATGTCTAATTAATCATCTCAAACTTTTATATTTTCCACACCAAATTAAGATCTTCATTTCTCCAAAAATCTCCCCACCTGCTATTCCTACAGGTTTCCCTTCTTAGTAAAGAATTACTTCCTACCATTTGTTCCAGCCTAAATCCTTGAAGCCATCCTTGATTCTTTCTCAAATCCCATATCCATCCAATCCATTAGCAAGTCTTACCAGCTCGACCTTCAGAACTTATCCTACCACTTCTCACCACCAGCACTGCCACCACCCCAATTCAAACCACCCTCATCTCTCATCTGGATAATTGTTAATAGCCCCCGACTGGTCTCCCTCCTTCCTTGCTTGCCCCTCTGTAATCCATTCTCAACACAGTAGCCAGTGTAATCTTTTTATAATGGAAGTTAGATCACTTCCAATAGTTCCTTCTCACTCTAAAAGCCAATGTCCTTACGGTTTTCTCTTACTACTCTCCTGCTTCACTAGCGCCAACTGGCCTTCTTGCTGTCCCTTAAACACAGTAAGAACATGCCTGCCTCATGGCTATTGTGCTCCTGTTCTTTCTACCTAGAACCTCTTTCCTATGAATCTGTAGGTTTATTCCCTGTCATCTTATCAGATGACAGTCCTGTCATCCTTTCCCTACCTCTTGCACTCTTCATCCCCTTTACCCAGCACTGTGTTTCTCCATGGCATCTACTGTTATCTGATATACCAAATATTTGTGTGTTTATCACTCCCAAAGAATGTTAAGCTTTATGAAGTTAGGGACTGCTTCTATTTTATCTGCTGTTAAATCTCCAGCACCTAGAACAGTACCTGGAGTATTATGGGTATTCAGTAAGTGTTTGTGGAATGAAGTGGGTATCTCATATGTATCTGTTGAATGGATGAATATTTATGGTCCTATAAAATGAACTTTACTTGTAGAGATATGTAATGATATCCTGATTTGACTTGCAATCCTTCAGGCTCACTTAGTTCTTGGTAATGGCATATTGGGCTCCGTGGAGCCCAGCAGATACTTATCTCTACCGTGCGTTTGTATAATCTCTGCTTCATAGAATTAGGAGGTCATTACAAAGATAAAAAAATTTGGCGCTGTTTAGCATTTTCTCCTTTGACTGTAATTAGGTCTGAGCCAAGACTCTCATCTTCTTTCGGTTGATCTAGGCATGGCTAAGAGTGCGTTGAAACGCACGCACTGACCTCTAAGATGGAGAAGCAGGTTCTCTTAACATGAGTTCTCTATTCCTTCTTTCTCACAGGTCTACACTGCAGTGTATTCGCACGATGACCTGTGA